ACTCCTACCAGAAATAGCCATCCTGATTTCATTTTTTGTACCCCATTCTCTCTCATTCTAGCCAAGTTGTGTGGCTGAGTGGCAAACCAGATCAGGAACTGGTGCATATTACAACTAGCAATTTGTATGCGTGTGGCCAGGTCAGGTTTAACCTGGATCAGTTCCTTGATCTGGTTCAGCCTGTGCTGGCCAGTGGGAGGTGAGGAATGAGCAGGCTGGACTGTCATAGGCAATATCAGTGCAGTGTCTAATCAGAGGATGTGGTCTTACGATAAAACTAAATTGATGTATGCAATCTCTTGCCAAAAGAGGTGGTCTTGGATGCGTGGCTTTGTTGCTTGCTTGTGCCAGTGTTGCTGCTTGTCTTGCCTTATGGTGGACTGATTAATGGAGCTAAAATGGCAGGCAACTAATCCTGAGTATCCATCCCACCACCCCCCAGTCATCTTTCAACTTGGCTCCGTGAGCTAACTCACTGCAAGTCAGACAGGTTTCAGTACTGCATGTATCTGTGTTGTTTCTCTTTCACCTCGTTGGCCCTGAGCTATCCTTTAGGGATTCTGCTCGAGCAGCTCTGCAAGAAGTTTCAGTAAGTAATTTTGTAATGTGGTGAACACGAAGTAGAGTACTTCATCACCAGGGAGTAAGCTCATCACGTTTACTGTGTGTTTGGTGTGATAATGACATTGGGATGGCAAGACGATGCACCTATAAAGAGCAATTTGATTTTTATAAAGATCTTTTGCCAAACATTCACATTGGATATGGTTTTTAATCTTCTGCCTTGCTCACAAATGACTCCACCGTGTTTGTCTGTCTGAAATTGAGGTCTGTTAGATGCCTCTGGAAATCAGAAAGGGATGAAAATTATGTGTGTATTTCAATGCAGTGTCTAATGTTTCTTTAGAGTGGTTCCATCTTCCTAGCTCTCTACTCTTGTGTTGTTGAGGCAATGCTGTTGTGCTTTATAGCAATGTAATGTGAGCACTCCTGGCTCCTGAGAGCTTGCTGTTGTCCCTGCCTCATGGTGATATGCTGTGTTTGTAGTTGGCAGTGGGGAATGGACTCTTCTGAATAACCCAGGAAAAACTCATTATCAAATTGAATTGATTCCCCATTTGGAAAAGAGGTAGCATGAGGACAGAAAGGAGCAACTGGACAGTGGAGGACTTGAGTATTGCTTAAGCTGATATTACATCTAGGGGATCATAGCCTCATGTTCTAGAACCAGCTGGACGCAACACAGCAAAATGCTTTGTCTGGTTATCTGGACAGATCTGAATCCTTGAGAGTGCTCACCCTGAAACCCTCATGGAGTAGAAGAAATGCTTGCTCTTACAGGCTGTCCATCAGCTTCTGCGTGACTCATTTAAAGATCTTTATGGTATGGAACATTTCTCTATGGGAAAGTTTCTAATCTGTTCGAAAATGACAGACAAAAAACATCTTAAAATTTTAATTGGGCTCTAAGTATTAGCGTGTGTAACCAATTGATCATTCTACAGTGACACTTTAAGAGTGGTATGACTGTCTGGGAAGCCTAATAGCAGCCTTGCTGTTGGTTACAGAGAAGGATTCCATGTCTTTCGCAGGAGATCTGTGACTTCAAACTAATGAGACATGGATGGTTATAAATCCTCAAAGCATCTTCCTAATCCCTGTATGCCCTCATCAGACTTGTAATTGAGAACACCAAAATTACCACCCCCCCCCCCAGTTACAACATTTTCTATAGTCTAGTGGACCACAGGCATTTATTATTTTTTTTAAATGGGGATATGTTGCATATTGTTGAGTCGTAGCATTGATCTGAAAAAAGCTCTTTTTCCCTTAGGTTGTGGCTAGATGTTTGGAAGTATTAGCAATGTAGGCAGGTTCTGTCCTCAGTGGTGTGCTGGCACAAGCATTGGTGTGGCTGCATGGCACATTGTACCAGGGACCTGATTTATCAGGGGTTATCCAAAGGTTGGGTTTTTACATTGATAAACCAATGAGAAACCTGATCCATGTGCTTCTGCAGAAATGGGAGAGGTTGTGGAGGATGCAGGATTTCTTCATTCCTTTCATGGTTCATTTCAGTTTAGCTTTGAGCTGCATCCCTACTTGCTAGTGCAACAGAGGGCTTGGTGAAAGGGGAAAAATGAATGTTCAGGCAAGGGACAGCAAGAGTTTCTAAGCTGTGTTACTTTCAGTGTGGACAGACATGGAATGACATGCCAACCCAGACTGAGAAGATGCCTTCCATCTCTTCCATCTTCTTCATGAGTTAGGAATCCTGCAGCTTTTCAGGTGCAGTTCTTGCAATGATCCAAGCCTTGTGCTGGAGCTCTTCAAGGCAATTTGCTGGAGAAACTCTGGTTTATAATCCTAGTATCACTTGGCATGGTGTTGCACAGGGTTGCACAGCAGTCTGTTGTGCCACAGCTGATCTCCTGCCCTCTTTTCTCTTATGGCTGAACTAAGCTGGGCTGCTTTTTCTGTAGCATGGTACTGTGCCTTTACATAAAGGAGCCATAGCTAGATTAGGAAAAGTGATTATTTTACAGCCGTTAAAATATTGTTTGAAATGAGATTTTCCTAGTTTTTACAAATTCCTGTTTAGCAGAAAATCCAGCGTGCCACAAGTTCCTAAGTCCATTTTCTATCTTCTTAGCTTAGGCAGTTCCCATGCATTTGAGCCATTTAAAATTCTTTTTTTTGTTTGGTTTTTTTTTGTTTTTTTTTTTGTTTTTTCCTTGTGGAAGAGGAAGGAACTCCTTTTCTGCGGTGGAAATTAAACCTCCTGCCATTTTAATCCTTACGAGGTAGGTGTTAGATGCCAGTCACCTGTCTGTAGATTCAGAGCTGACTGCACTTGTGCTCCTGCAGTATCTGACCTAGCCACCATTTGGTACTAGACAAATTTTCTCCAGCACATCTCCTTTAAGAAAACAGATTGGCATTAACCCCCATAAGACCCCTTCTTTTAGCCCCTTGGCCTCCCATCACTACAAGGACAGGGCCTGGGGTCCATTTTATTGGTCAGAATTTAACTCTTTGCAGCCTTCGAAATGATTCTTTTAGCTGACCAAACAATTCAAGTCTATAGCTGAAGGGCGTGTGCTTCTGGGCTTTCTGTATCCATTGCGAAGGGAAGAAGAGCACCAGCCCATTTGATTCTCATTGCAGATTACCGTTAAAATTTGCTCTCAAATGGATGTGAGCGTTATTTGCTTTGGACAGGAAACGTATGAAGAGGGAGGCAGGCACATTCTTGCCAAACTGTAACTGAAGAAATGCGAATACTTCATATGGCAGTAAGCTTTGGCTCAGTCTCATTTGTTTTGTTACAACAAGCACCAGCTTCAGTCAGTGGTTTTTGTTGTTTTCTTTTTGTCCTCTCCACCCTTCTTTTCCCTGCTTCTCCTCAGATCGTGACATCGGGTCCTGGGAATGAATGTCTGACACGAGGAATGAAATAGCATGTATTCATTACCAGTAACTCTTACTGTTGCACCCCGTGTGTACTGAACAAGTTTTTGAGACGAATGTACCGCCACTTAAAACTCTGTTCTGCGCGTTACGGAGCAAACATTGCTCACAAATGAAGTACAAAACTGAAATAGAAGCAGGGGGAATGACTATTTGAACTACTTTATCAGCTATTAACGTGTTGAATGTTGTCACATGCATGCATGTTAACCAAGAGCATTAAGTGGGGGATTCTTAATTAAAAAAACGTGTTGTTAAAGATATTGCTCCAAGTTGGTACTTTGTGAGTGGTTTCTGGAAGATCGTCCAGATGTTTTTTACTTTGCTTCTTTGCAGCTAGCTCTGCCTCCATCTTGAAGCTCTGGAAAAACTTTTCTTGATACATGACTGTGGTAGTGCTGGGCTTCAGAGGAGCAGTGTACTAAGAAGCAGGAACCTTTCACCGTCATTAATCAAATCCAAATATGATTGCCCTTGTATACTTACACTCTCTGTTACTGTTTAGACTTTAACACAGTAACCATTCCGTCGGAGACTTCCAGCTGGTTTGTTTCTGTTTAAATGAGTGAACATAAACGAATTTTAACATGGTGGTGGCTTTTAAACAGTTCTTTAAGGAATTAAGGAAGTATATGAAAAAAAAAAAAATCAAAACTGCTTCTTAGTTTAATCATTTAAACCCCCTTAGATATTGCACAGTTCAGTTACTGTGGCTGTTTTAGACAAAAAAGCTTTTCTGTATACTTCATAAATATATATTTCTTGCATTCATTTTCACTAGTAGTGAGAGGAGAGAACAGGGTAAGAGAATTATTTTTTGAAATACAAATTACATTATTTGAAAATCCTCATTTGTTGTATTCAGCTGTTCTTCCAGGTATATTTTGAAGCCTTATTTTGCCTGGCTGGATTTCATATTAACAGTTGTCCTGTTAAAACACCATTGCTGGTATGAAAGGAGAGTCATCAAGAGTTCGTTAAGATTCTAAATAGGCTAACTTCAGTGGAAGCTGGAGTATGGACACCAACACAATCCATGCTGTTTACCGTTCTCGTCTTCTCCTCAAGATTTGGTTCCTACAGTAGTAACAGCTGTGTTTTCCTTAAGTTTTAAAGAGAATGATATTAACTTGTAGTTTTCATCCATAGTTTCTGTGGTGACCCTGTTGGAGGCATAAGCAAGTTTATAAACTTGTGTTCTGCAGGTTTCAGTTAGTGGACGAGTTTCAGTCCAACACGCACTGTTAAAGAGCCTGTTTCTCAAGAGCGTGGAGGTGCCACAGTGAACTGGAGGTATGGGATGGGACTCTGCCATGAGATTTACTTTGTGGTTTGTCTTGCAGGTTGCCATCACGAAAGCCAAAGTGGATTTCTCCGGCGTGGTGTGCCTGCCCCCTTCCGTCATTGCTGGAAATGGGCTGGACGGAGGAGGGGCTGGCGAAAATGACGATGAGCCGGTGTTGGTGTCCCTTTCGGCGGCCCCCAGCCCTCAGAGCGAAGCTGTTGCCAATGAGCTGCAGGAGCTCTCCTTGCAGCCCGAGCTGACCCTCAGCCTCCACCATGGCCGAAACCCCAACCTTCCTCCGCTCAGCGAAAGGAAGAATGGTAAGTGGTGCGGTGAGCTCCATTGGCCGGCTCACAGGGAGCGCCGTGGTGTTGATCTGGTACGTGTTTGGATGGCAGTGCTGCTTCTTAAAGCATTTTGTTCATACGAAGAGCTAATGATCTGGTGTTGATGAAACCAGTTAGATTACTGTATTAGATAAACACTAGAAACAACTTCCATGTGATTTGTGATGACTAAAAGTTTGCCAGGCCAAGAGAGAATCAAAGGAAGTATGAGCTCATTCTCAGACTAGAGCCATCAAGGATCTGTACATTTTTCTTGGCCACCTTGGTTTGTACATTACCAAGGGTGAGTAATCTTTCTCACCGCGAGCGTCTGAAAAGTTCTGTCATACTTGTTAGAAGGAGGGACAGGATCTTGAGTTAACAATGAAATATCCTACTAGGCCCTCTAAGTCCTAGCGCGAGAATGGCCAGCACGTTTCTCAAGTTGTGGTTGGACAGAATGGACAGCAAACAAAGGAATCCCTTTAACTGTCACTGGGTGACCAAAGTTTCCATTTCGAGGACGTGAACTGCGTGAAGTTCAGGATTTCCAGGCTGCCATGAAACTTTTGTGTATTCAGCCACATCCTGGTAAAACTGATGAAACCATTTGGTAACAGGTGGCTTCTGTTTGTGAATTCCTCTTGATCATCTCTCTTTCCCCATGGGGTATGTGTTGGTGGCTCTTGACAGAATGAAGGGCTTGTTATGTAATTGCTGTAGTGTGAATTGCTTGTTATCAACTGTACGTGCAAGATGCTGGAGACTTCTGGATGCCATGTAGTGTTACGCATTATGTGCATTGTACAGGGCTGCACGTCACAGTGTATTGGAAATGCTACAGAGTTGTGGAGTGGCTTTATAGCCAGTACTTAATGTTTATGATAAAGTGATATGGAATATGTGCACTTTAGAAAAGTAGTTTAGATTGGATGGATACCACACTTGACACGCTTGGTTCATCGGCTTCAGAAATTGAGTGTGCCTTTCCCTGAAAAGTCTATTAGTGTTTTGCTGGTTGGAAGAGTTAATTTCAACCCAAAATATTGTTTCCAGAAGGACAGCAAAAACTTCCTTGTTCATATACATTATGCCATGGTTCTGTGATTGTGGTCATTTTCAAAGGCCTTAAAAGCGGAGAAGCTAGAAATTGCAAGGGCAGAACAAAAAGCTAATAGTCATTAATGTTTGTAGGCTTCAAATTATAAGATAAAAGACAACGGATGAGGATAAAGAGTGGTGGTGGAAAATAAAAGAAAACAGAATATTAGTCAGCATGGCAGACTCTGATCACAACACATTCCTACTTGTGATAGGCTTGGGTGTTTTATAGTTATGATGGCAAGGCAATGTTTCTAATTAATTTTAAAGAAAGTAGTTCTGAGCATGGTAGAGGGATTGAAGGCAGCATGGGTAAAGCAAATGATTCTTTGCCTCCAAAGCTTGACAGCTAGCCAACTGAATGTGACAATGGGAATTTACTGGAGGTAGAATTCTTCATAGGGAAGGAGACATAATAAAGGATCCGTGAAGGAGAACAAGCAGTTATTCTTGATATCACAAAGTAAGGGGATGCTACTACTGGGAACTGACAGGAGTACCTAGTTAGGGAAAAGAACCTTGTCGCCGCGCTTTGAATAGATAAAGCCAGGACAAAACAGGATTTATTATGGTTAGAGAAAGGATATTCTTTTACAGAAAACATAAAGTCCGTATACAATTCAGTAGTTCGGGAAGTTTAAAAAATGGCATATTGGGAAAACTTGAGAGAAATCGGTGATTTTCGTTTTCTCTATCAAAATGTTGTTTTTTGGGGCTCAACCTCAAAGCTTTGTCGCTGTGGGCTGCCAGCCTACTTGACTGGAATAGGTGAAATACAGCTGGGTTTAAAAATTATATAAAAAATGGAGCACCTCTATCCATACCTTTTGCCAAAGAGAATAAGGATATTCCCGGATGTGACTCATGAGGTGGGTCCCTTCAGAGCTGCTTCTCTATCAGTGCTCAGCTCAACAGCAGCAGTTGGACTGTTGGAGGAGCAGCTTTTCAGACAAGGCATAAAGTCCAAAGTCTCCACTGCAGACTACCTGACTTTATCTTCAGATGTATACAGTGTACTTTTCTACCAGGCTGTGATATGTTATGTGCTGCTTGTGTGTACATTTGTTCAAGTTCTGTGGGACTGAAAAATGCTGTTGAAATGGGGCTATCTGCAAACTTGTCACAACATAAAAGGAGACTTGGCTTAGTGAGTTGTTGAGAAACACAGCTGATGTGTTTTGAGTTGATAACTAGTTCTCCTAAGTGGGAACTTTTCAGCTACCTTGGGAAAAAAGTTGCATGCTTGTTGAAAGTATTGAGCTTATGAGGAATCTCTGTTGCTGTGCCATTGGCTTCAAACATTTTCAACAATCTTTAGAGATGATCTGCTAGTTGAGATAGCAATCTGAACATTTGAGCGATCCTTAATGGTCGCAGAAGCCTATCTTGTGTAGTGAAACTGCTTCTGTGACAATTTGCCAAATTCCAAGTATGAGGAAGATAGAAGATGAGTGGTGGTGGGAAGGGAGGAGATGGTAAAATCCGAGACTTGCTGGAAGCTGCCTATCTGTGTCAAAGGGTCTCCTGGTCGCAGCTCTAGACAGGCATTGCTGACTCACAGCTGCAGGAAGGACTTAAGCTGAACTGCTCTAACAGGTTAACCCTTTAGGCAACCCTCTTACAGAAGGCTTTCCTTATCTGTGGATACCTGTAGAAAAAGAATACATGGATTTCTGCTGAATTTGTTACTTCAGGCAATGATTCTGGAATGTAAACAATTAGCTGAGGTAAAATAGAAAACTCTTTGGCATGTAAAGCATCATAGATTGTATATCCTATGGGAGAACTGGGGGTGCAGTCCTGTGTACACATGCTGCCACATGCCCTAGGACAGTAAATTCTTTTTTCTCTACTTGAGCAGAGCTGGAGAGCAGCTCCAGACTGTACCTTTGTGTTTTCTTATTTGTTTTTATTTTGTTTGTTTTTCAGACCCAAGCTCCACTTCATGTTCTTCTCTTACCACAGCTATGCTTTATCCTTGTAGGTCCTTGGGTGGGTGGCTGTAAAGGCTTTAAAAATCTTGGCTGGGTTGTTGTTATTAAATTATACTAAATTAAAATGAGACAAAAGATCATAAGGGTATTTGTGAAGTACTGCAACGCAACGAGTAGATAAGAAACATTTTTTGTCAATCTGATGGAAGGGAGCCATATGTGGTAAGGTGTTCATAAAATATTTTGACACATTTATGAGGTTCTAATCAGACATTAAGCTTAATGAATCATTTAAGGTGTAGGCATTTAATTGGTCTTTTTGTTTTATAATGATTTTTTTAACCTGAAATTCGCATTGCGTTTCTTTCCCTTTTTTACCCATGTTCATTGAAGCCTTGATCCCACTACTTTCTTAAACTGAGAGATTACCAGTGACTGACTCACTCTCCTTACACAAGCCAAAAAAGGTCATCATAGTTATCTGAAGCTGTTAAGAATCTTGATGTTTTTTCAGTTATGTGCAGAGATGCCAAGATGGCTTTTTCAGACCCTTGGGGCTAGGCTGAGAGTAAGGGTCCTGATAAATGTGGTTACAAAAAAAAAAAAAAAAAAAAAAAAACAGAATAAATATAGAATCTTAGGCAGATTGGTCATTTCTAATCAAGATCATCCATCTGTTTAGCTTTCATTTTAAATTATGTTTACTCCCCTAGTTTATTAGCCACTGTTTTCCCCAGATGAATTCAGAGTTACCTCTGTGCTGAGCTCATGAAAAGCTTTGTGTTTTAAAAGCCTGCCACTATTGTGGTGCTTCTCTCTGTTGGCTTCTTTAAGGTCAGGTAACATTCTTTCGAATGATCTGTTGCATTTTGATTACAGGTTTGGACAAAACTTGCACCGGCCTGTCAGTTCTTTGGGGTTTACGTGATCTGGGATGCTTGTCTTCACCCGAGTGCCATGTGTGCTGGGGGAAGGAGGCTGACTGGAATGCGTGGAATTTCAGTATGACTTGAAGTCACATAGCAGGCATGTGCTTTAGGTATCAGAAGGTACTCCCTTTACAGTGAAGACCTGGTGCTGTGCAAAGCATGCGATTAATTGGTGCCACAGAAGCTGATGGAGAATGTATCCGCTTACAGATCGCAGCATGGAACTTTTAAAAATGGTTCTAAGGAGCTGATTTAGTGCCTAGTCCGTTTACTGTTAAAATATGGAAGTATCAGGGCACCTGGTTTTATTACAAGGAATTGTGTGGGTGATTGCTGCTATAATTCTTTTGTTAGTTTATGTGTTCCAGACTCCTTCCTCTTCTCTTTCCTGTCCTGGATTGTCATATTGAACAGGCAGATTCAGAAAATACAGATTTAACTCAGAAAGTTTTTGCAAATTGTATAGCTGTTGTCTGGCAAATGTTACTTAAAAAAAAAAATTGATAATGTCATCTTAAAATCATGACTTAATGGTCCTTTTAAAAAGTGCTTGTTGTGACTTGAAGGTAAGCATGCGCGCTTATCAACAAGAGTTGTATTTTATTCCTGTGGAAGGAGTGTTTTACAGATGGAATCATTCTGAAACCGTTTTCTCAGTCTAGAGGATTTCTGGAAGAATGTGACTCAAAGTTGCACTTAATTACCAAGTGATGATTTCTGCCTCATCAATTTACATAGGAGGAAGATTCTTTAGTCTGTATGGTAACAAAGGATTGAGGCAGGAAATGCACAGCTCTCTCTGATCTGTCCTTCACACACATTCCAGGGAGGCTGGCTGTTTTCTCTTTTGTGTGAGTAAGTGGAATGGTTGTTAGAATGAAAACAAGCAGTCTATCTTGGATGGATTTGATCTAAGGGACTGCGTCCCAGGAGACTATAAATTTAGTATGCTGTCTGAAAATCTCTGATAGAGCTATGAGAGTCGGAGCATGATGGAAATGACTGGCCTGTTACTGGTGGGAGCTACTAAGCAACTGAGAAGTGGTAATCTCTTGAAATATTTAAAACAAACAAACTTTTAAATAGCAATGGGGGAATAGTTGATCTGGAGGGAGTAATGCCAAAGGCAGCTTTAATGTGGTGGCTTTAGTAAGTTAGCTCTTAACACAGTTTTTGTTAGTTCCTGATAAAGTTGACATGATTGTAATGCCTTTCCCCAGTCACTGGTGTGTAATAGCCCTCTCTCCTATGTTTCTCCTTTTTAGTTCCTTTCTTATTCCAGTTTGTCTTTGATTTTTCAAGGTTAAGGGCTGCTGGGTGATCACATACACATAGCGTTTGGTACCTATTTGATGAAAACACTTATTTTGGGTGAATTTCAACTGTTCACTGCACAGGTCAGACCCAGATTTGGGCAGTTGTTTTGTTTACGTAAGTAAGGTCTCTTTTTGCTTTTTTAAGTGTACTTATGAAAAGATCTCTGTTTTTTTTTTTGAAGGGAGAATGCCATTCTGCAGGACTCTGTTCTACTTAAACCATGAGCAGCTGCTTCATGCAAGAAAGATTCACATCCTTTCACAATAGCTGATGGTTCTTGGTAAATTGAATCTCATCTTTGGTAACAGCCTGTTTCTGTAACATGTGGCTTTCTTTATGAAAAACTCTTAGTTTTCTATAATTCATTTCTATTAGGACACTGTGAGCCACTTCTGTGTACTGCAGCTCTCCTCTGCAATCAGTGTGCTACCACAAAGTGTAATGATGAAATGTTGGGTAGAAGATGTGAGGTTGTGCAATCTTCATCTTCCTTGCTGGTCAAATTGGCAACATCCTTTCTTGTGGGCTTACAGCAGCATTCATTGCCTCTATGTTGAATATTAAAAAGCCCGGCATTCTGCTAATACTATGAATATGAAATTACCTATGTAACTTTGCTGTTGTGCTTTGTACTGCAGTAATGGACTGGAGGTTCCGGCTCAATACCAGAGTTGCTGTGTGGCCAGGGAGGTTCTAGTTTTCAATAGGGTATGCGTATGATACACTCTGAGGAGTGTTGACTGTACTCCAAAAATGATAGGACGAACTTACTCCTTAGTAAAGATTTGTCACACATGTTGTTTTTTTCTCAGACTTTTAAAATATCTGCTTCCTGCATCATTCCTGAATGTCTGCTTCTTTCTGTACAGCAATGTTATTCTGGTTTGTGATGGCTAATGCCTTAAATTTGTTCTGTCTGTCCATAGTCACTGATGGTGCATGTGTATGTTCTTCAAGGAGCCAAGGGATGATCCTGGACACAGCAGGAAGGAGTTCCTCTCCCCTTTGCTCATACTGTTCTCCACACATCACCACAAAAAAAAAGTATATATTCTGCTGAACGTTATAGAATCATAGAATATCCTGAGTTAGAAGGGACCCATAAAGACCATAGAGTCCAACTCCTGGCTCCACGCAGCACCACCCAAAAACTGTTCTATGTGTCTGAGAGCACTGTCCTGATGCCTCTTGAACTCTGGCAAATTCAGTGCTGTGACTGCTACCCTAGGAGCTCAACCACCCTCTGTTGAACCTTTTCCTAACACTCAGCCTGATCCTCCCCTGATGCAGCTCCACGCTGTTCTATGAGACCTTGTTGCTGTCACTGGAGAAGCCTCCTCTCAGCTCCTCTTCTCTGGGCTTAAGAAACTAAGGGATGTCAGCCACTCCTCGTGCATCTTGCCCTCCAGGTCTGTAGCACTCTTTAGCCTTCTGTTGGATGCCCCCTAATAGTTTTATGTCCTTATACTGCAGTGCCCAAAGCTGCACCCAGTGTTCAAAGTGAGGCCACACCAGTGCAGTGGGACAATCCCTTCCCTCATCTATAGGTCTGTTTCTGTGTGGTGACCATGGATATTCCCAATGGATGTTCAAGTGACTTATTTTGCTAATGAGTGTCTTTAAATTCTCAGAACACAGTTTGACACTATCGCTCCTTTCCGTAAGGATGGCGCAGCTAGAATTAACATTTAGGCCTGCAATGTTCCTGTAGCAAAATCTAAAACTGTGAACCTAGAACTGCATATGTGGTGTTTGACTAGCCCAAATGAGCTGATTTTTTTTCCTCTTACAACATGCTATTGATGTAAAGTGTATGGAAATTAGATGAATACTACAATATCATCACTGCAAGGGATTTTCCTGTAGCGGTTAAAGTCACCAAATGAGTTGTTGCAGCCTCCTTTGAAGCCCCAGATGTCTTTGTGTGGGGGAAGGAAGACGTGTTGCTATAACCTGCTCTGCTCACAGCTGTCAAGCAGCTGCTGGAGAAGTTCTTGCATCCAACTGGGAGAGAATCCCTCAGGTTGCTTAAGATCGGAGGGGCAGCAGACAGTGAGAAAGCAGCTTTGTGCACCCATTTCCTCACTTTCGTGAAGGCAGTTGTGGAAGACCAGGGAATCTACTTGCTCAAAAGGATTTTAAATGTCAAAATTGGTTTATATCTTTTATGCAGGGCTTAATGTATTTTGGGCTATTGGTGCAAATATATGCAGCTACTTGCAGGCAGATGACCTAATGAGAAGTGATTGTGAGCCTTGGGGATGATGGGGGAATAAGGAAAAGCTGCTCTGGGGACAGAAGTATTGGAATTAGTTTATTAAGATAATTAAACTGTCTTTTGGGTAAATTACTTGAGACTCTTTAGAGACTGACATTGAATTTCCTTTCTGTTAGAAGCTAGAATTGTCTAGTGAGGAAAGACTTAATTCTATTTTTAGGTTTTGGTCTCGAGAAATATTTAACTATAAGAGTTTTGTCCACTATCCCAAATCTTTTGGAACAAATTATCTGAATATGAGAAATGGCTTCATTTTTTTTTAACATGCAGACAGGTTGGATAGAGGCTGTGAACCATAATGATGGGAAAAGTGTGAGGGAGAAAGGATATTTTTCTTTCTCTGTTTCACTTACTTGTTTTGTTTTTAAGAAACCGACACTGACATTCATTTGATAGAAGTTCTAATCCCTTGTTACTGCAGTTCAGGTTTAGTGTGCAGCAGTGGCTTTTGGTAGGGACAGGGAAACGATGCAATTAGTGAGAGAAACAACAGATGAAGGTTAACCAAAAGTGATTGATCTGTCAGCAGGATGTATGTGTTTTTGGCCACGCTGTTTCTAAGCTGAGGATCTCTGCATGTTTATGTTAACAGTGGGTCTCCTTGTCCTTGGAATGAAGTTGCCTCATCAACAGAGTCCCTTAGGGGATTGAAAGTCTGCTTAAGACGTCATCGTTCCCTTTTAAAAGAGGAAAAAACTGCCAGTTCTTATATCTCGGACCCCTTCCTCCCCCCTTCCTTTCACTTACAGAGCACCAAGAGGCGGACCTTACTTCTGCAAACTACACATCCTGCGTTCCCCTTTGAGTATTCATTTTTCTCCTAGCTGTAATTTGATTCTGGGCTGTTCCAACTTGCCTGTAGTGAATAAGCAGAGAACTACATGTTGAAAGCCTGACTTTTCTCAGTAGGCACTGTTTTCATCATATGCGGATAAGAATTTCTTGCAGGTTTTGAATAAGCTTAAAGTTGATAGGTTCTGTGTGGATTTTTTTTTTTTTTTAATATAATTTTTTTTTTTTAATATATAAATCTTTAAATATCTGTCTTTATGTAAAGAGAAGTCTCTAAGGGATTGTACCTGTTCAGAAAACAGTTGAGGATCAGCAATGACACTTCTGGAACCAGAAATGCAGATGACAACACTCCAATCAGGTATCATCCCAAACATATGCCATGGGTAAATGTTGCTGGTGAATCATGAATGCTGAGCTACGTAGGGAGTGACAGGATGTAACTTTGAGTAACAAATTAGAGAGTAGTCGTGATTTCATGTGCAGATTGGAAATAGGTGGGTGCTACATGGATGCTAAATACTGATCACTTTAGAGCTTCACTGGAGATAAAATTATCTTTCCACTCTTCATTTGCTAGTCCCTGGTGTTAATATGTCTTGCAAAGACTAGAAGATCCCTGGCAAATCTGTGACTTATTCTAAAGAAGATTGCTCTGTTCAGCTTTTGGCTGATTTTTTGTTGGCTTCTATTTGACAGTTTTATTGGTTTTCAATGAAATGTGTTCTTTAGAGAGACTGTATTTTATTATTTATTTTTTTTAATTTTTGGAAGGGAAAAACCTCTCATACTTTGAAAGTTCACAGCGTTTGTTTTATGGTTTCAGAATTGAAGTGGTATTACTTGCATATACATGATTTTATCCTAACCACTAAGTGATGTAGCACTTAGCTCTTAGATATGTACAGAGTTGCCTTTCTGAAACGTAAGACATGATAGAGTTAAAATTATCTGTTAATGACAGTATGGTGTACTTATGTAGGGCATTTTTATTTGCAGCATTAGGACATTCTGTAATCACGAAACCAAACAAATATGTATAGATATGGATGACCTCTGTTTTATGAGTGGGAGCAGGGACTGACCATAACCTTGGGAAGAATCAACATTATACTGGTAGTAGTAGTGTGGAAGTTTGAGTTTGCATTTGTGTGCTCTTGTCTTCTGTAAGGCATTGCCAGAAAAGCTGACCATACATAGTGCCAAAAGTGTCAAGACAGACTTGTTTCTAAAAGTTAAATGCTTTTACTTTTCCTTGAGTTGAAAGGAGACAAGTGAAACAGTAACTTCATAATTTTAGATGAGTGTTTTGTTGATTTCAGAAATGGCTGGATTTACTGAATTTCCCACCTCCTGTTGTAGACGGGAGAGGCAAGAGAGGTGCTACATCAGGGCTGCATCTTACATGGAGTGCATGCTTTGTCTTAATTTGTGACTATTACAGAAAGGTGTTTTGAGACAACACAGTCCATCATCCTGCCAGTGGTACTCTGGTAGTCTGAATTCTGGAGCTAGGATTTAAACATTAGCAAGCTGTTTGATGTGGAACAGGATGCATATGGCAAGGCAGTGTTTAATCTGTCTGTCTTGTAAAGAAATTTTGTTTTCCTTCATATGAAAGTCTTTATGTAAGGGCCTGAAAAAGACACTTAACTCAGCAGGCCTTGTTTCTAATAGATTTTCTAATTGTTCTCAATTTAAATTTAAATTTCAAGGTACTTGTAGCTAAATTTGTACATGATATTCTGGGAAACTTGAAGAAAAAAATAAGCCTTGTCAAAATTAGGGAAACAGCCTTCATATTAATATTACTTTTTTCAAAACATCTATTGTAGCTGTGTTTGTTCTAAATTTAGAACCATTTAATACTTAGACTGAGAGTTTCTCTCACTAAAGAATACTTGGATGTATCTTTGCTTTTAAGTCATCTGATCCTGCTCGGCAGAGAAGGACCTGGGGGTCCTGATGGACGAGAGACTGAACATGAGCCAGCAGTGCGCTCTGGCAGCTCGAAAGGCAAATGGGATCCTGGGCTCCATCAGGAGAGGGGTGGTCAGCAGGGACAGGGAGGTGATCGTCCCTCTCTACTCGGCTCTTGTGAGGCCCCATCTGGAGTACTGTGTCCAGGTGTGGAGCCCTCAGTACAAGAAAGACATTGAGATTTTGGAAAGGGTCCAGAGGAGGGCGACTAAGATGATCAGGGGGCTGGA